TGGGCTCATCCCAATGCAATGGCAGCAGGAGCAAGGGAATTCTGCCCCTGTGCCCCACTGGAGCACCCTGGTATAGGGAAAGGTGTTCATGGCAGGGGTAGAATGGGATGAGCTTTAAGGTCCCTCCAACCCAAAACGTTCTGGGATTCCATGACCCTCATTGCCCTGACACCAAAGCCCAGTTTTCCCCATGGACACAGCTCCTGCCCACCTCAAACCTCGTTAGCATGGCCTCTGACCACAGCAGTCATTAGCAGAGGGAGCTCACAGTGTCACACTCCAAAATATTTCCCTTCTGATTCTGCTGGACTTTGATCCTATTGAGCAGCTCCAAGTGACAGCAGCCAAAACCCTGAGCTGCAGTGACCTGGAGCCTTTGGTGGCAGTGACACCCACGCCACCCTCAGACTCACGCGGGTGACAGGAGGCATTCTGCCACCTTGGGTGACCTGTCCTCCCAGAGTGCTGCCACACAAGAGGGTGACAGCCCAGGCCCCCAGGCGAGGACRAAGTCCATTCCCAGGCCTTTGGCTGCTCCTATCCTCCTGGAACGGCTGATAACTGGGAATGGGGCAGGATTTCCCTTCCTGGGGGGTTGGTGAGTGCCACTGGGGAGGTTGGAGGCAGCAGCTGGGAGCTCAGTCTGCAAACTCCAGGGGGAAAAAGACACACAAAGAAATCAATCCCACCATTATTTTAACGTGCTCTGGATTCAGTGCATGGGGGAGAAAGACAACAGGAAAACGGGGCAGAAGGTAGGGGAAACACACTCAGGAGCTTCTCAGCCACTGATGTTTGACCTGTACAGAACTACAGAGCAGCCTGAGCTGAAAGGGACCCACAAGGACCAAAGTCCTGGCCTGCCCAGACACCCCAGCAACCCTACCCTGGGCACCCCTGGCAGTGCTGTCCAAACGCTCCTGGAGCTCCAGCAGCCTCAGGAATGTGATCATTCCTTGGGGAGCCTGGGCAGTGCCCGGCACCCTCTGGGGGAGGAGCCTTTCCCTGAGATCCATCCCTGGCACAGCTCCAGCTGTTCCCAAGGTTCCTGTCCCTGGTCACACAGGGCAGGGATCAGAGCTGTCCCTCCCTGCCCCTCGGGATGAAGCTGAAAGAGATTCCAGCTTGAAAGCAGTTCTTGAGACTGATACACTCAAATTTCAGTTGGCAAAGAAAAAATCAGTGAATCCATCTGTAAAGCACCAATTCCAAGTTGAGGATCACCCGTGCCAGGTTTGGAGCCCAGCTGCCCACCTAATATTTAATTATTGGTTTAAGCAGGTAAACACCTGAGTGTCACCAACTGACCWCTCATTTACGTTTCCCAGCCCAACAGAAAAGCAAACCAGGAATTAAGCCYCATTAGTGTTTTCTGACCCAGAGCRGCCTTTGAAGCCCTCTCCATCCTTACTCGGACAACTCCCTCGTTACTCACGCCCYGTTTTTCCATCTGTAACTCCCGGACAAGCAAAACCTCCCCAATTCATGGACATTCCAAGGCTCTAATTAGACTCCAGGGAGATGACGGGGATCCAGAGGCCCCACAGAGCTCAGCACAACACCCTGAGCCTGGGGGACTGCTGGGACAGGTGACACTGCCGGAGCAGAGGGCACCTGCCTGGCAYGGTCACTCAGGGGTGGCATATTCCCAATGAGCTGCTCCGTTTTTGTGGCAGTTCTGATGGCACAGGACCAAGAGACGAGCAGAAGCCACATTAAAGACCTTAACAACCACCTGAGGATCTGTTTTACAGCTCCTTGAGTGACCAAACCAGAGCAGAAGGGCTGTGTCAGGCTTTTGGGGATTTTCTTGAACCCAATGAGATTTTCCTGCTGCCTGATTTGGGAGAGCTGCAAGAGAGAAATGAAGTTAGKTGCAATTAGGAGGYCATGRAATCTCTGCTCAGCCCAGAGCTGCCTCTTGCTGACAAACTCTTTAAGGACCTGAGCAGAAGTTCACAGCCTAACACCAAAAACTACAAACGAAAAACCCCAGCACTAAAAATCTGATGGATTTCCTTTCCCCAGGAACACCCTCTGGGTGGAATACTAAAAAATTGTATGCTGGGACACAGGAAATGTACCCCAAAACCCCCCATGCAACTCCTGCTACATCTCTACAGTTACCTCATGTACTGAAGGGACTAAAGAATTAAATAGCTCAGGTTTTCAACCATGTCAAGTGTCAGAACCCAGGATCCCAGAATGRTTTGGGTTGGAGGGACCTTAAAGCTGATCCAATGCCACCCYTTCCACCAYCCCAGGTTGCTCCAAGCCCCARTGTGCAGCCTGGCCTTGGACACTGCCAGTGATTCAGGGGCAGCCATGGCTGCTCYGGGCACCCTGTGTCAGGGCCTGCCACCTTCACAGGGAACAATTCCTTCCCAATATCCCATCTGTCACTGCCCTCTGGCAGTGGAAGCCATTCCCTGTGTCCTGRCACTGTTGGCACAGGATGTGTTTGAAGCTGCTCTTGGTGTCTCTGTTTCACTGCAGTCTCCTCCTGAGCACCAACCATGACTGTCAGTCAAGCCTTGTGTGCCTTTATGTCAGGATCCATCTCCTGYTGCCATGGATGGAAGGAAATCACAGAACCACGGAACCTCCTGAGCTGGGAAGGACCCACAAGGACCAGAGTCCAGCGCTGGCCCTGCACAGACTCCCCAACAATYCCACCCTGGGCACCCCTGGCAGCRCTGTCCRAAYGCTCCTGGAGCTCTGGCAGCCTCRGGGCCAGGRCCATTCCCTGGGGAGCCTGGGCARTGCCYGGCACCCTCTGGGGACAGAAGAACTTTTCCCTGAGATCCATCCCAAACCTCCTGGCCCAGCTCCAGCCATTCCCTAGGGCCTTGTCCCCAGTCACAGAGCAGAGATCAGAGCTACCCCTTGGCAGTCCCTGCCAGGGCTACAACAGAGCCTCTTCCAGTCCTTGTTCCTGAATGTCCCCAGCTGCATCAGGATCCATCAGGACCACAAGAACCAYGGGACAAGGGCAGTCTGGGCTCTCCTTGGCTCCATCCCGCTCAGGTTTCTGCTCCCTGCAGGCACCACCAGCAGCCCAAGGTCTTCTTTCTGCCATGCACAGAGTGAAATCCCCTTCCCAACCCCGAGGGATGCCAGAAGGCAGCTCCTGCCCCCTCTCCTGCCCTGCATGGGCAGCTTGCTTTCTCTGTCCCTCCCACAGCTTCCACAGGCATCCAGAGCCCCAACAACTGCAACAGCAGCTGCTCCTCCTGCAAGACCTGCAAGGAATGGCTGAGGGAGCTGGAAAGGGGCTGAGCCTGGAGCAAAGGGGGATCAGGGGGGACCTTGTGGCTCTGCACAACTCCCTGACAGGAGGGGGCAGCCAGGGAGGTCGGGCTCTGCTGCCAGGGAACAGGGACAGGAGGAGAGGGAACGGCCTCAGGCTGGGCCAGGGGAGGCTCAGGGTGGACATCAGGAGGAATTTGTGCATGGAAAGGGTGGTCAGGCCTTGGCAGGGGCTGCCCAGGGAGGTTTGGAGTCACCAACCCTGGAGGTGTCCAAGGCAGGGCTGGAGGTGRCCCTTGGTGCTSTGGGCTGGGGACAGGGTGGGCTCAATGAGCCTGGAGGGCTTTTCCAACCTTAGCGATTGTGTGAATCCCCAGGGATCCTCTCTGCACAGGAGCACAAGCACCACTGAGATAGAGCACGAATTCCAGCAGTTTGCACTGGAAAAGGGTGTGAGAAAGGCAGTGACAGGGATTTAACCTTCTAAGGAAAAGCAACTGAGAGGTACCAGCGGGAAGGASAAACCGGGAGGACAGTCCCTGGCCAGGATTGGAGCAGCTGGACCATTTTAAACCATTACTCAAGGCCACAGTCATCGACTCCTGAGACTCCAGCCCTTCATGGAGCGTTTGGGAGCGCTGGAATTAACTCGGACACGGGGCACGAGGCTCCCGCTGGGCGCAGCCCCCGGCTCGGCAGGAGGGGCGGGCGAGCGGCTGCGCTGCCAGCCTGGCACKGGCCCCTCTGGGGCGTTCAGTTACAGGCTCTATTTTGCTCCCCTGGCTCTGGCCAGGTGTAACCCAATCYCCTGCCCACAATCCCGTTCAGTCTCCTCACCGAGTTTCTGTCAGGAGGTCCTTGTGCTCTCTGATCCTCAACGACCCCGAGAATTCATTAAAAAACAGAGTTTGCCTGGTGGAGTTTCCTCTCCCTGTGAACACCCCGCAGAGCGTCCGCCCACGCTCCTGCTAAAACAGTCACTTTATTTGCAAGCACAGCACACACAAGTCCTCGGGGTCTCTCAGTGTGACAGACAGGATGCCAACTGCAGCTCCTGAGCCGCTGTAAAAGCAGGGGGGAACTTCAGCTCCACTGGGCCATGCTGGGATTGCCCCCGTTCTGCCCGAGTGAGGGAGCACGTTCCGGTCGAGGGAGAAAAGAGCTTTAGATGTGCACCCGCGGCCCCCGCGCTGTCCCCAGAGCCCTGCCAGGGGCACTGCCATGCTGGGCACGCACATTTTGGCTCTGCTCGCCGCCCTGCCCGCCCCTGCCTCTAACCCCCGCAAAACCGGAGCTTTATGCGGGGCTGGGCCGCGACACCGCTGAGCTGCCGATGCCGCCCCGGCCGCAGCCCCGCCGGGCCCAGGGGGTGGGGGTTTGGACACCGAGGACCACACGTGGGGCGAAAAGCCGGGCAGGGAGCTGCTCCAACGGGGGGCCTGAAGGGGCACTGAAGAACSGGCGAGGAGTGGGGCTGGAGGGGGCCCGAGACACCCCGCGCCCTGCGAGGCCGCGGTCCCTTTAAGAGGCCTAGCAGCGCCGGGGGCCGCCGCGCCGACGCCCGCGCCCCACCGCCTTTCAGGCAGCGCCGCACCGCCCGCCCGCGTCCTCCCGCCGCCCCAGGCCCGCCGCGCCGCCCCGCGCCGCCGCCCTCACCCCGCTGTCGGCCGCCTCCTCCCAGCTCTCCGCNGCCCGCCCGCGTCCTCCCGCCGCCCCAGGCCCGCCGCGCCGCCCCGCGCCGCCGCCCTCACCCCGCTGTCGGCCGCCTCCTCCCAGCTCTCCGCGACCTCCTCATCTTCCATTTTAATTCCCGTCCGCCGCCGGGCCCGCGCCCCGCGCATGCGCGCGCCGCCCGCCGGCCCGCGCCCGGCAACGCACGCGCACCGCGCGGAAAGGGCGGGAAGCGGCGGCGGGGGTGCTGCGCTACAGCGCCCCCTGGCGGCCGGGAGGACCGAACCCAGGGCAGGTTACTGTTGAGGCGTTTTATCATAATTTTTGTGTTTTCCTTTAATTTTGTTTTCCCTTAGTTTCGGCGTGTTTTCCTTATGGGTTATTTTCCCTTATTTTTAATGTGTTTTCTCATAATTCTGAGGAGTTTCTCTTTAATTTTGGGAGGTTCCTCCTTAATTTTGATGTGTTTTTCCTTAGTTTTGATGTGTTTTCCTATAATTTTGGAGTGTTTCCCCTTAATTTTTGTGTCTTTTTTTTCCATAGTTTTGAGGTGTTTTCCCTTAATTTTGGAGTGTTTTCTCTTAATTTGAGGCATTTTTCCCTTAATTTTGAGGCCTTTCCCATTAATTTTGGGTTATTGGATCAATCAGCCCCCAAATTTAGGCAATTTTAGCCACCAATCCAACCTCTCAACCCCTCTGCAGGCATCCAGGTGYCTCCTTCCATCTTCCAATTTGTGCCTCTTCATTTGAGCCCAAAGCTGCTCTTATGGGSCACAAGGATCAGCTCCAACCTTTAAAAACATCCAAAATTCCCCAACCCCCCATCATTTCTTAAACTTTTCTCATTTATATCCAAGATACTCACCACACCAATGTTTTCCTTTGAGTTCCAAGCCATACAAAGTTTTTTGGGGTGGGATTTGCATCTCCTTTTTCCTCACTCCAAAATTAACTGCCCCTTCAGCATCTAAAATAAAAACTGTTTTCACACAAGAAGTTACAGAAACTGCCCTTAGATCCCTAATTTTTCCCTCRAATTCCCACCCAAAGTTTGCCGGCAGATGGCGACTGGATTCCTACAATATGACACTAAACCTCCAGCTAAAATAAACCCTGATGCCTGTGGTGTGCCCCAARCCTGAGTCTCCCTTTGCACTGCCAAGCCCGAAATTTGGGCAGGGCCCCTCCGGACACACCCACGGGTGGATTTTGGGGGGATGTTTATCCAAAGTGGCACTGTCGAAGGGGTGTACAGTGCACCGGGGGCGTTAAATCCTCGGATTTCAACTCTTTTAGCAGCTCAGAGGGGTGGGACACAGTGCTTCCCTTCCTGGGGGATGCTGCCCCGGAGGAAAAGTCGCAGCAGTCTGGGGCTGTTCCTGCCCATCCTCTGCGATTTTTCCAGAAGGCAACACGAACCAAATTTTGCAGCAGCCTGGCACGTTTGCCTTGATCCCCTCCAGCGTTCCAGCGGCATTCCCTYGGACATCTCCCTCTATTCCGCTGTAGGAAATCCCCTTCCCAGCCCTGTYTGACTCCAAATCCCAGCGGGATCCTCTGGGAATGCAGTGTTGATGGCTGCGTTGGAAAACACACCAGTTTAAAAATTTTCAATGTAACTTTAGTCAGGTTTTGTTGTTGCTCMCTTCGCCCCGGGGGAAGCGCACTGAATTTTCTTTCCAGGGCATTGTTCCACCGGGTGAGGCCTGGGGAGCTTCACATCTTAACAAAACTGGAGTGGCACAAAAAATAAAGACCATCAATGGCCATCRGTGCCCATCAGTGTCCATGAAMAGAACATCAGCCCCAAACCTCTCCTCTGGCGTGGTCAGATAAATCTGGTCTGGGAAACAGAGATAAGAAGGAGGACTCGATCAACATTGGAGGTGAAGAAATCCAGATCCAATAGGAACCCAAATCCTGAGAAGTGTGCAACGTTGGACCAATGAACACTAAACCAATAAAATTATCTGGGTTTTGACTGTATAAAATTTGGGGAAATCTTGTAAAATTCATGTATCGTGTARTGATTCTCTCTGCGCACCCGGGCTACGTGTGGGCAAAATGATCTCTGCGGCACAACCTGGTCTGAACAACATCCTGGCCAGAAAATAAAGTAATGCCTTGACTTTCTAACATTAAAATATTGTTGGAGAGCTTTTGTTTTGTGACAGCTGTGCCACCCCCCGCGGGTGAGCACAAACCCCACGTCTGCCCCCAGGTTATCCCAGCCCTGTATGTGGGATGCGGTCTGTGGGGACAGAGAGGGTGGCACTGATTCCCTTTTCCCTGAATAATAATGTTCCCACACGGCTCGCCAGAGGGACTTGATGTCAAAACAAGCCCCGCACAGCGATGTTCCCTCCTTTCCTCACCTCCATTGAAAGAGGGGCACCACAGTTCTCCAGGAACAGGTTACATCCCGCCTCCCTGTCGAGCCCTCAGAGGCTCCGGGKGTTTGAGGGATACGCGGGGACACGGTGGGGCTGCAGCGGCGCTGTGGGGCACCCCTGAGAGAAGGGCGGGTTCCCGTGCCCCAGCTGCGCCTCTCGGGGCTGCGAATGAGGATGGGAACCGGGAMGGTGCGGGGAGGGAGCGGGACAAGGAACGGGACAAGGAMCGGGACCCTCCCTGGCACCWCCGCCACAGCSCCGACCTCCCCAACATGGCGGCCTCGCCCGCCCGCCTCTCCCAACATGGCGGTGGGACCCTCCAAATATGGCAGCCCCGTGCTGCGCCATAGATACTCGACCTTCCCATCATGGCGCCCCCACAACGTCACCCTTATTCCCGCCCGTCGTCACGTGACGCGAGGGGGCGGATCCGCGCCTGCGCAATGCGCGGCCGGCGCGGCCGGGGCGGCGGCGGGAGGGCGGGGAGGGAAGATGGCGGCGCCGGTCGGAGCCGTCACCGGGGCGACGCGGCGGCCCCGCCGCCCGCAGCCCTGAGAGCCCGCTCCGGCTCGGTCCGGCTCGGTCCGGCCCGGCGGCAGGTGAGAGCGGCTCCGCGTTGCGACTTCCCCGGGCGGGGCCCTTCCCCGGGGAGCGGGGCGGCGGGACCGGCCCCTTGGGGCGGGACAGGCCTGGTGTGGAGGGGATCACATTTGGGGGTGGAGGGTGGGGGGAGCCCCTGTTCCAGYCTCTCACAGCGTTYTGGGGGGRTCTCTGCGGAGGGCAGAGCCCACGGGGGGTTGTAGCCCCTTCTCGGAGGAAGRGAGCTCCTTCCCAGCTCCGGGTGGCGAGGGGAAGGCGGTCCCGGAGGCCCCCTCAGGGCTGGTGGAAGGCAAAGCCTTCTCCTCTGAAAGGCGTGTTTCCCCCAAAAAAACCGTGTTTGCCCCCTGAAAGCCGTGTTTCCTTTCCAAAAAGCCAGGCTTTCTCCCCTGAAAGCAATGTTGCTTTCCGTAGAATGCCATAATTCCTCCTCTAAAATCCGTGTTTCCCCCTATAAAAGGTATTTACCCGGAAACCTTGTGTTTCCCAAAAAAAACCCCCATATGTTCTCCATAAAAGCTATATTTCCCCAAAAAGCCTCGTGTTTCTTTCAAAAAGCCACGTTTCTGTCCTAAGATCTCTGTTTTCCTCCTAAAAGCCATGTTTTCTGCAAAATAGCCACCTTCCCCCCKAAAAGCCACATTTGTCCTCCAGACTCCATGCTTCCCCGCAAAAAAGCCATATTTCCTCTCCCCAAAAAAAGCCCCATTTCCCCTCTAAAAACGCTATTTCCCCAGAAATCAGTGCTGGCATCGAGCAGTGCCAAGGCACMGGCGGGCAGTGCTGACGGTGGGGGGAAAACGGCTTTTTTTGGGGGAAAATACGGCTTTTAGGGGGAGAATATCGCACTTTGGGAGGAAACATGTTGGTGGGGCACACATGGCTTTTTCGGGAAAAATATGGTTTTTAGGGAGGGAAACGCGGCTCTTTCGGGGGGGAATCATGGCTGAGGGGTGCTCCCACAGCCTCAGCTCGCGTTGGGTTCGTGTGAAAACAAAGGTGAGGCTCAGTCYCCGCTCGTTCTCCGTGCGAATCCACATCTCCCCTTGATCCGAGCGCCGGGCGTGTGTCAGTCCGTGGATTTCGGCCCTGGAATTGCGGTGCTRGAGCAGCCGAGGTGCCCGGCTCGGAGCTCTGCACCCCCGGGGGTTTTGGGGTGTCGCTCCCCATTGTCTCCGCTGCCGAGGTGCGTTCGGAGCTTTGGCAGCGGCTTTATTTGGGATCGCGTTCTTGTCACGGCGGGGCTGGGCTGAGCAGCCGCTGCAGGGGCTCGGCGGGACCATTATCTCATCCCAAACCTCTCGTCTTTCCCAGTGGCATTTTCCAGTCGGCTTTTGCAGAGGGGCAGGGCATTTGTGGGGAGGAGCAGGAGCAGAGCCGGGGTGTCTGSCTGTTAATGACCTGAACTCAAGGGAGTGCTTGGAGCGGGAACAAAAGGGGAGTGGGAACGCTTGTCTGTGGAGCGGGGATGGGAGATAACCCCGGCATCACCGCCAATGGCGTTTGTATTCCSGTGGCTTTAATGGAAGCCGGCTCGGGGCAGCAGCTAGAGCTCTTCCCCTTGGCTAAAAGGGACGGGAATTACAGTGAACTCCCGTGGAGGAGCTGCTGACCTAAATCTGCGCCCTGGCTGGGAAGGGGCCTTTTCCCACCTGTCCTGGCGAGTGAAACCTCCCGGACGGGCTCGGGGAGCCCCGGTCAGGGGCGGTGCTGCCGTGTCCTGACAAAGCCCTGCTGCAGCTGGGGCTCGGCCTTTCTGGAGATCCAATCCCMGAGTGGGAGCTTCCCTCATTCCCACAGCCCTGCGTGTTCCCACCACCCCCTCTCCTGAAAACCAGGATCSTTCCCTCAGGTTCCCTTCCCAGTGTCTCCTTGGGCTTGGCCTTTCCTTGGTGTCACAACTAGGAGAGCAGACAGCAAAATCCTGGGCAGAATGCCAGTTACTTTATAGAATCCAGGAGGGTTTGGGTTGGAGGGGACTTTACAGACCATCCCTTCCACTAATCCTGGTCACTCCTAGCCCCGTTCAGCCTGGGCTTGGACACTTTATTCCTGGTGCCTGTCTTGGCCATGGTGTTCCCACACTGGGTTCAATCCTKCTCTCCAGGGGTGTTGTGTCTCCCTGCTCAGGCAGTGGCAGAGCCACAGCCCRTGGTTGTTTTGGCATAGCAGTGATGTTTGTGCGTGTTTTT